TCCCCATCTGCTGAGGCTTCACCTCTGTTTTTCACCATTAGAGCCTTGGTTTTTCAGACAGCCCGACCGCCCTCTGTCCCAAACCACTTCTGCTTTCCTGGCGAGTGGCGGGCGGTGCCTGCCGAGTGCTGAGTAGAGATTTCCACATTCCCTGGAGCAGCTGCGCTTCTGCTGAGTCACGGTTGGGAGGGGGCTCGCGGAGACAAAGGGGACCTGGATTTTGCTGAGTCACCGGCCAAATCTCCGCCTCCTCTGGGCGATCTTGGTGAAAGGGCAGTTTCATAGCCGGCTGGAGGAAGTGAAGCTTCCAGAAAAAGCAGAAGCCTCCAGTTTATCTCTAGTCCCTGCACATTGTTTGCAAAGCATGGTCCCAGACATCTCAAAGGTGGTTCCGCCAAGACCCAAGTGGCAATTCCAAGTTCCCACTCGGCCCAACTGACAACGTTCTCAGGGTCGCCTCTCCTCCCTGACATCCCACTTCCCAATCTTCTGGCATTTTTAAAAAAAGATTTTATGTATTTATTTTGAGAGTGAGAGAGGATGAACGGTGGGGAGGAGCAGAAGGAGAGGGAGAAGCAGGCTCCCCGCTGAGCAGGGAGCCTGATGTGGGGCTCGATCCCAGGACGCTGGGACCTGAGCCAAAGGCAGATGCGCAACCACTGAGCCACCCAGATGCCCCTAGATGGGCCCGTTTTGTATGAGTGCTAGAGATACAAAGCTGAAGGGGCTGAAGCCCACCTTGTCAGAGCCTGTGTGCTCAGGATCCTAATGGAAGAAGTCTGGGACCAAGAGAAAATGATTCGGAATGGGGGCAGGGGGTACAGAAGACAAATGTGGGTGGAAACTGCAAAAAATCCTGAGGTCCGCTGGGAAGCCAGCATTCTTCCAAGCATGGTCTCATTTCACCCTCACCAAATGGAAGTGGGAGTTTCTCTGCGGTGGGCGAATCACAGCCCTGAGCCCCCCCCCCCCCCCCCCCGCCCCGGGTTGCCCATGCCCTAATACCTGGAACTTGGGGCTACCTTATGTTACTGGTTCAAGACGCTCAACGCCCTTTGCATAAGTTGTGAAGGTTACAGACTTCAAAGTAGGGAGATCCTGCTGGATTCTCTGGGTGGGCCCAATCTCATCACAGGAGCCCTAAAGTTGAGAACTTTCCCTGCCTGGAGGCAGAAGAGCAGTGAACAAGGAGAGCCAGGAGGACTCCGTGATGCCAGTGTTCAATCTGCGTCAGGTGAGGGTCGACTCACAGGCTGGGGACTCATGGGAAGTTGTTCAGGACAGAAGGCTGCCCATCCCCAAAATCCAGGGCTGGGACAGGACAGGAAGAGAAGCAGCCTGGAACCTCTGAAGGTAGAACCATCAAGAATTCTGAGCATCATGCTGGGAGACAACAGAAGGGAGCTGTTGAGGGAGAACTTCCAGGTCTATCCATCTGTCTCTTGCTTCCTGCAGCTGAGGCTCCCTCCCGAGATGAGGAAGACAGGCTTTGAGGGGGCCATACTCCTGTTCTGCTGCTTTATTTTATTTTTTTTTAAGATTTTATTTATTTACTCATGAGAGACACAGAGAGACACACAGGCAGAGGGAGAAGCAGGCCCCATGCAGGAAGCCAGACATGCGACTCGATCCTGGGACTCCAGGATCACACCCTGAGCCACCGGGGCTGCCCTCCTGCTGCTTTAAAACGACACATGTTTATTCTCCAGGTATCTGGAGGTTGGAAGTTCTAAAAGGGTCAGCAGGGCTGCACTTTTTTTTTTTAATATTTATTTATTTATTTATTTATTTATTTATTTATTTATTTATTTATTTATTTATGATAGACATAGAGAGAGAGAGAGGCAGAGACACAGGCAGAGGGAGAAGCAGGCTCCATGCTGGGAACCCGATGTGGGACTCCATCCCGGGGCTCCAGGATCACTCCCTGGGCCAAAGGCAGGCGCTAACTGCTGAGCCACCCAGGGATCCCCCAGGGCTGCACTTCTATCAGGAGTTCCAGGGGTGCATCCACTTTCTCGCCTTTTCCAGCTTCTAGAGGCCACCTGCTCTCCTGGCTTGTGGCCCCTGACTCCCTCTTTAACACCAGTGGCTTCCAGTCGGGGGTCCCATTTCTCTTGTCATGCCATATTTGGTATCTGCAACCCTGCAGCCTCCCTCCTTGAAGGATCTTTGTGAATACATTAGGCCCATGAGGATAATCCAGGATAATCTCCCATCTCAAGATCCTTAAATTAACCACATCTGCAAAATCCTTTTTACCATGTCATGTAACACATTCAAAACTTCTGGGGATCAGGATGCAGACATCCTTGGTGGTGGTGGGGTGCATTATTCAGCTTACCACAAGAGGAGGAGGAGAAAGAATACCATTTGGATCATTCCAGTTGTTTGAGGACAGGGAAGGGGAAGTCAGAAAGCTGAGTCAGCACACAGAAGGACCACAAGCTCAACACTGGGACAGAGGAAAGAGCCAGATCAGCTTTGCCCCCGGCCTCCTCTGCCCTGGGGTTGTCTGTATGTGGGGTCTGTTCTGGCCACATCTGGGGCTCCCCAGGTAGCAGTTGGGATGAAGAACAAGCCTGGACTGGGAGCCAGGAACCCGTGGTCCCTGAAGGTTCTGTGTCCTATGGGCGCACAGCCTGGGCAAGTCAAACCCCACTTGGGGCCTCTGTTAAATAAGAAGAAATTTATTATGTTAAATAATAAATAAGAAGAAATCATGTTAAATAAGAAGACATAAGATCACACAAGCATTACTTCCTGGGGTTCCTGAATTGACAGGGTCTGGATGTGCTGAAGGGAAGTTTTCAGACCTTGACACTTATTCTCGAAATTCCTGGGGCACGGAGGCAGCCTTCTGTGGCAGGGCAGGTGGCGAGGGGGTCAGGAGCATGGGCTCTGGCTTCAAAGCACCAGGATTTGGATCCCAGCTCTGCAGTCACTAGCTGTGTGACTTGAGGAAACTGTTAACGTCTCTGTGCCTGGGTGTCTACGTGGACACAATAGAAATGAAACAGACAGTAACCTGGAGGGGCCAATGTCAGTATTAACTGAAATCCTGCACGTAAAGGCTCTGGCCATGGAAAGTGCTCAGTAACACTGGGCTAAGATTGCAGTGTGTAGCTTGAATCCAGCCCTTTTGGGGCAGCCTGGCAATATTATCACGTTGGCCAGAAAGAGATCTTGTAGCTTATCTATTCGTTCTTTCCAATCAATCAGCAGGGATCGCCTTCTACCTTCCAGGCATTGTTCCAGGCTGTGGCATTTGTAGAACAAGGCAAGGTCCCAACTGTCCAGGAAATTTGCATTCTAATGAGGCCATTGGTTTCTAATAGCTCTCATTTCTAGAAAGTTCTTGGCAACTCTCTCTCTCTCTCTTTTTTTAAACCTTCTAGTAGCTACAGCTCTACTTCTGACCTTTGTGAGTCTTGTCATCCCTGGGAGAGGTCACCTGGAAGTTTGAAATCTTTGTCCTAGACTGCTTGGGTTCAAAACCTTGTCTTGACTTCTCTGCCTTGGTGTTCTCGTTTGTAAAACACAGGTAATAATACCAACCTTATGGGGTAATTGTGAGGATTAAATGAGCTGATGCATGTGAGGGCTTATATAGTAGCTGGTGCACAGTGAATGCTCGGTGAATATTAGCTATTAGTGTTGTAACCATTGTTCACAGAAGCAGAGGTGGTTCTATAGGTTATACCGAGGACCGAACTCCTTGGCATAGGCCCTCTATCTAGAAGGCTCAGCAACTTCCAGGTGGCCGGATTGATTTGGTAACTGACCCTCAGGAAAGAGGGTGGTTCTTCTTGGGCCAGAACTCTGACCTCGGATTAGATGCACCCCTGCCCACTGCTCGAAGACTGTCTCCAAGCACCAGGGGCTCCTGGACATGCACGGATGGCAAGGACGGCAGAAGTCAGCTCCCACGGTCCCCCACCCGGGGAATCCATGCTTGACAGACCATCTGGAAGCCTGTCCCTGCGTTGTTTTCACAGGCAGGACACTCGCCACCTCTGTTTTCAAACAGCATCCCTGTACCGAGCCAAGGTCACGTTTTTATAATTTGTTTTTTGCTTGTGTTTTTGTTTTTAAATTTAGAATCCAGAATTGTGGCAGTGGGACTGGGCTTCAGGACTCACCAGCTTGCTCACTGGGGCTCACCCAGTGACCGGCGCCCCCCACCCCCAGTCCTAAGCCTTGGATCTCCTGCAGACCTAATTCAGTAGATCAGAGAGGGCCAGCTGTGTGAGGAGCTGAGTCAGCGGTGGCGAGGCTTGGAAGAACACCAGGCTTGCAAGCGGGGAAGTGGTTTGTGTAAGAGGCCTTGCTCTCAGGTTGCGAACCAAGTGCTAAGACAGCTTGGAGGTGGAGGGCCGGCTTGGACGCACTCTCGGGTTGGGGCCCAGTTTCCTGCTCTATGTGTGACCCTGGGAGCGCCACTTTAATCACACCCTGCCTCAGTTTCCCCGCCTGTAAAATGGTAGTGATCTACCCCCACGGAGTGGTTGTAGGGATGAACCATAGAAACAGCACAGTCTCTAACACTTAGTAGGTGCTAAAAAAAAAAAAGTCCTAAATGTCCATATTAAGCGAGCATAAGGAGGCAGGCTGTCAGCCGGGGGTCCCCTGAGGAGGTGGCATGGAGCAGAACCGGCGCCCAGACCCGAGGGGGAGACAGCAGGCAGGGCGGGGCTCCCAGCTTTCTGGCCCTTTGGGAGGCTGCGGGGAGGGGGGGCGCGCAGGGCCCATCCTGGCCTGGGAGCCTCTGGAAGGGCCGAAATCACACGGCCGCTCAGATTTCCACAAGTTGTTTTATTTTTTTAAGCGTCCTGTTTTAAATTGCTTTGTTTTCCTTGGGTCATATGACCGTCCCCCCCACCCCCGCTGGCCCGGGGCGGGCGCGGCGCGGGTGTCGCAACCTCGGCCCAGGGTGCGGAGCAGCTGCCGGCCGCCGCCACGTGACCCGCCCCCGGGATAAATGGGCCGCGCGGCCCGGCAGCCGCGGCCACCGCCGCACGTCCCCCGCGCCTCCGCAGACCCCGGAGCCCGCGCCGCGGCCGGCAGCACCCAGCAGCGCCCGGCAGCACCCGCAGCACCCGCAGCACCCAGCAGCGCCCGGCGGCACCCGCAGCACCCGCAGCACCCAGCAGCGCCCGGCAGCGCCCGGCAGCACCCAGCAGCGCCCAGCACCGCAGCCAGCAGCACCCAGCGCCGCAGCCGGCAGCACCCAGCAGCACCCAGCGCCGCAGCCAGCAGCACCCAGCGCCGGCCGGATGGAGCGCCCTCAGCCCGACAGGCAGGCACCGGGCGCGGGGCGCGGGGCGCGGGGCGCGGGGTCCGGGCTCTCTCTCCCGGGTGGGCCGCCCCGGGAAGCGCCATCGCCGGGTTCCTTCGGCTTTGGACTACGGAGGGGCCGGGTTTCGGTCTGGTCCGGTGGGGTCCTCAGAGCGATGAAGGTGATTTACCCGTCTGGCTCCCTGGCACAGGGTGGGTGCCCAGATGCAAGTGTCCCTATGGGAGCCAACTTTTTTTTTGACTTTTTAACGTCGTTGGAGGTGCTCCCTGCTTCCTCCGGGATCCCTGGGGCTGCCGGGCGGGGTTCAGCGGCTGGTTCTCCAGGGGAGCCCCCTGGCGGCCGCATCCTCCTCTTACTAGCGGCCCCGCACCTGAGCCGCCCGCCGCGGTGCCGTCCTGCCCCCCGCGCTACAGAGGGGGACTGCACAGTTCAGGGAGGCAGCAAGCCCAAGGCCCACCCCCACCCCACCCCCCGGCAGGTGTCCAAGCTGGGATTTGAAACCACAGTCTGCCTGGCTCCTTCCCTTCCCCCGGGGGTGCGAGCATGAACAGAACTGGGGGTGATGTCTCTGGAAGGGGTGCAGGAGAGAAGGGAGAAATGACAATTCTGTGGGAGGTGGATACGGACATATGGCGGAAATATTCCCAGAGACGGACTTTTTCCTGGAGTAAAACAGTTTTGCAGATTTTTTTTTAACCCAACCCCTTTTAGGATGGGCATAACGTTATAAGGGATTCGTATCTGAAATGTCAACAGAATGAATGAATTAGATCTTGGGTCTAAAGCCAATCAACAGCAATTATGACATAAAATATGAATGTTCACACTGCTACTTCTCCCTGGGCATTGCTAACAGCCCCGCCCCCCATCACCACCAAACAATATCTGGTACCAGGATTTCCCATTTGGTTGTATGACTTGAAGCATCATAAGGCAGTTGGGAAGGTTGCCTGTGTATTAGATGGCAGGCTGGACTTGTTCCTGCAGAGAAGCCTGGTATCTCTCCCAGGCCTGCTGATAGGCAGGTGGCACCCTCAGAAGCTCAGTGTTGGGATGAACCCTGCTCAGAGCGACCCTTGCTCACCCTCCCTCCGTCCTCTCTGCAGCATGCCCCAGGATCTGTCAGAGGCCCTGAAGGAGGCCACCAAGGAGGTGCATACCCAGGCGGAGAATGCCGAGTTCATGAAGAACTTTCAGAAGGGCCAGGTGACCCGAAAAGGCTTTAAGGTATGTGGCCTGGCGGGATCAGCCCTGGTGGAGTGTATGAAGGGTGTCAGTGTGCCTGAGGCACTCGGGCCAGTGGTTTAAGTGGGGACTGGGACCAGGGGTGCTGAGGGACCAGATAGGCATGTCCAGGGGAATCGTTTTTGCAGATGACTTTGAGGCTTAAAGAGGCGAGGTGACCTACTCAAGGTCACACAGCAAATTCACAGCTTGCTATGGAGGGCTGAGGAGGGGCTGGGGCCCTAGAGCCATCAACTGAGCACCTACCTGTCCTGTGCTGGGCATTTTACATGCTTCATTTCTAATCTGTGCCTCAGCTCTGGGTAAGGCCAATGAGGAAGGGCAGGCTCAGGGGGTGATGTAGTGACCGAGAGGTCACACAGCCAGTTACTAAGTGGGAGAGTCTGAAATCAAACTAAGGCTGCTCTTACAGAGCTTGTGCTCCTGACCTAATTCTCATGTGCCTCTGAAGGCAGAGGGTGGCACAGGTTCGAGCCCGAGTACAGGTGTTTCCTCACAGTGAGATTGTGGGCATCTTACCTGTGAAGTGTCTTCAAGAGCAGAGTCTTAAGCACCTGCTCTGTGCGAGGCATTGATCTTGCTATTTCCCAGTACGGCTGAGGAATTCATGCAAACAGAAGGCAGGCACTCAAGCCAGGCAGGTGTCGGGTGTTCAGACAGCAGTGTGAGGAAAGGCTTGTTCGGGGTGAGCAGAGGGGGCTGGAGTAGGAGCACTATCCCCCTACTCCTGACACCCCTCCCTTCTGCACTCTGCACTCCCCCCATTGACTTCCCACCAGAGAGATGCTTCAGTGACACGTGCCCTGCCATCCTAGGGGACTGGGCCCTTGGCTACCTCGCTGGGTCTAGTCCTGGCTCCCCCTCCCTGCCCTCCTCCTCCCTCTCTCAAAAGGATGGCACATACCACGCCCATTTGTAGTGCTGTGTCTGGGGGCAGTGGGAGCCAGGGAGGTGACTGCTGGAGTGTCCCATCCCCAGCCCCTGGGACTTTGGATCTTGCCTCTAAGCCACTGAGTTCAAAGTGGACACAGATGCATGAGAGAACCCAGTGCTCACATAGGTGATGCGATGGAGGTGGCATTTTTCACCACAGCCTTGGAACCGAGGGCTAAATCCCAGGCTGAGGCTACTACTTTGTCCCTGTCACCCTGCTTGAGGGCAGCTCTCACATCAGCCCCGCTTAGGACATCATTATCCCCTCTGGCAGGGGAGGGGACCAAGCCTTGACTTGACAGTCACTCAGACCTCCAGACCCACAGAGGGCGAGCGGCTTACCCGAGGTCACATAGCCCAGGATGGCCCGAGCCGAGGTTAGAAGTGGGTCGGCACCCTCAATAGCCCAGGCTGTCTTGGATCAGGCTGCCTGGCTTTGTGCCCATTTGAGAAAGGGGGCTGCTGGGAGCGTTTGCGGCTCAGAAATAACTGGGAAACCTCAACCAGAACATCTACACTTTGTCCTCCCTCAAACTCAAACTAGAGTTCCCGAGCCAAGGTGTGCTGGGCCGTCCTCCCCTGCCCAGCCCCCAGGGTGGTGGAGATCCCAGTGGGTCTCTGGAAAGGAGCCTCCACCCAAGGATAGTTATCCGGGGGTCAAAGTGCAGAGGCACTGTGAGGCTCCAGTGAACGCTTTCGTTCAGGCCCCCTTGCCCCAGAGCTGTGCTGGCTCCTAGCAATGCCTGGGCCCAAATCCAGTTTCACTGCTTGCTGGCTGTGAGGTCTCCCAGCGTCGTACCCTCTCCAAGCTTTAGTTTTTCCCTCTCTGTAAAGTGGGGAGAGCAGCTCCTCTGGATCTTTATGAGGCCTGAGTTAGGGTTTTAGGTTCAGCAGGTGGAATAAAAGGGTTTTAGGTTCAGCAGGTGCACGATGGAGTTTGACACTCCGGCTGTCTACAGTGCAGTGGGGATGGGGGGCAGTGAGCAGGGGGAGGATTGGGGGGATGAGCAGGAGGTGGGATCGGAGGGGGCGAGCTGGAGGTGGGAGCTCAGCTCGGGGAGGGCATGAGGGTTCCACCGGGGCGGAGGTGAAGGGGCGGGACCGGGTCCTGACCTGCTCACCCCGGTTTCAGCTGGTTATGGCTTCCCTGTACCACGTCTACGAGGCCCTGGAGGAGGAGATCGAGCACAACAGGGAGAACCCGGTCTACGCCCCTCTCTACTTCCCAGAAGAGCTGCACCGCAAGGCCGCCCTGGAGAGGGACATGGCCTTCTGGTATGGCCCCCGCTGGCACGAGGCCATCCCCTACACGCAGGCCACCCGCCGCTACGTGCAGCGCCTCCAGGAGGTGGGGCGCAGGGAGCCAGAGCTGCTGGTGGCCCACGCCTACACCCGCTACCTCGGTGACCTGTCGGGGGGCCAGGTCCTCAAGAAGATTGCTCAGAAGGCCCTGGACCTGCCCAGCTCCGGGGAGGGCGTCGACTTCTTCACCTTCCCCAACATTGCCAGCGCCACGAAGTTCAAGCAGCTGTACCGCTCCCGCATGAACTCTCTGGAGATGACGCCCGCGGTCAGGCAGAGGGTCATCGAAGAGGCCAAGACTGCCTTCCTGCTGAACATTCAGGTGAGGGGCTGGCAGCTGTGTCCCCCTGCCCCAGCCTCAGGCTGCTCTGTGGGTGGGTAGTTCTCCTCCACGGTGGGGAAGGCGCTGGGGTTGTGGGGGAGTGTGGGCCCATTTACAGCTGGGTGCTCTTACCTCAGGTTCCCCGTCTGTAAAACGGGGATATGATAGTACCTGCCTCTTAGCACTGTTGGGAGGGTCGGGTGACTTTATACCAGTCGAGTCCCGATGGCAGGAGCTGGCACGGCCCTGTCGTGTTAGCTGCATTCTCTTGGGATGTGATGGGCACAGCTATGGCCTTCTATGATAACACAGATGTTGTGTGTGTGTTTGTGTGTGGTCAGGTTGGCACTGCAGGGTCACTGTTTGACCAGGAAAGTGGGATGCAACTTTCTTTCTTTTTTTTTTTTTTTTAATTTATTTATTCCTGAGAGACACAGAGAGAGAGAGGCAGAGACACAGGCAGAGGGAGAAGCAGGCTCCATGCAGGGAGCCTGATGTGGGACTCGATCCCAGAACCCTGGGATCATGACCTGAGCCAAAGGCAGACACTCAACCACTAAGCCCCAGGTGCCCCAGGAAGTGACTTTCTAGAAGCATTGCATTAAATCCAGGGGGATAGTGGCTTTGAAGGATGAATGGGTGGAGCTCGGGGTGGTGTGAGGCTCCTTCTAACCCCGATGTTGTAGAATCCCATAGCTCCCCGATCCTCCCCGAGGTGCTGCAGGGACTGGGGTCCTGGCTCCTGCCCTCCTGGCTTCTTGTTCCCAGCCTGGGAGCCAGCACTTGTTCTGGAGCACCTTCCTGCCCTTGCAGTCAGTGGCAGACAAAACCCAGTCAAGCCTCTGAGAAAATCTGTGCCTTTCAGAGAGGTTCTGAAAGAACAGGGGAACGGGGGCTTTGGAGGCCAGCACCCCGCTGGAAGGCTGGCTCTTGCTGCCTGAGCTCTGGTTAGCCTGCAGGAGCTGCAGCTGCAAAGCCTGGCCAGGGAACCCCATGAAGCGCCCTTCCTGAGGCTGCCTGGCACAGGGGGCAGCTGGGGGAAGGCAGCAGGCTGCGGGACACAAGCCCTGGGACATGGGAGAAGGGCACAAAGAGCCCCGGTGGACCCTCAAGGCAGGAAGCGGGTTACCGGGCAAGGATGTTGGGGGGAGCAGGCAGGCGAGGCCAACGCACCTGTCACATTCTCACTCCGAAGCTGAGGGAAGGCAATGGGACTGCTCATGAGTTTTCTTAAAATTTCGTGAGGTCCTAAATATTTCCTAGCACAACCTAGAAGCCCCCCTGTGCCTGGGGCCTAGCACCGTCTCTTTCTAGCTCAAGCTTGTGTGTCTTCTGTCTCTTAGCTGTTTGAGGAGCTGCAGGAGCTGCTGAGCAAGGACACTGAGGACCAGAGCCCCTCACAGGCCTCAGGGCTACGACAACGGGTTGGCAGCAGAGCACAAGGTGAGCCCCCCGCCCTCCGATGGGCTCCGTGGGAGGGGCTTGTGGCCCAGCTGTCTGCCCCCAGTACCTCCTGGCTATCCTGTCTTCTGGGTGTTTTAAATGAGCAGTCGGGCACTGGCCCGGGGGCCTGAGGCCCTCCTTCCAAGGGTGGCTCTCCCCACCTGTCTTCCCCGTCTCTAAAATTAAGGGTGGTCAGCAAGTTCTGGTTCACTGGTGAGAAGCACAGACATGCATATAAAGAACCCTCGGAAGGCATGGGCAGGGCCTCTTGTGGGTGTGTGGAGTCCAACGCGGGACTTGAACTCACGACCCTGAGATCCTGATCTAAGCTGAGAGCAAGAGTTGGACGCTCAACTGATTGAGCTCCCCACGCACCCAGGGGCAAAGCCTCTTAATGTAGGCTCCTTTGGGGGCCCTTTCATGGTTCCTAAGCAGAGCACCCTCTGCCCCGATGTGGGACAGGGTGTCTGGGAGCAGTTCTAGCTGCCACTGTGCCATGGGACATGGGGAAGACGGAACCCCTTACTGCATGCTAGACCTTCCCTCAGGTGCCCCAGAGAGGGACATGGGTAGAGAGAACATCTGGAAAACTTCTAGAAAGACCAAAGTGCTCCATGAAATGTACCCTCACCGAGCCTGACACATGTGTGGGTAGGATTGTGGCTTTGGGGGGTGGAGGGGAGTGAGTGAACAGAGAGGTGAAGCCCTGCCACCTGCCAGGCAGGTTACCAGAGGCCTTTGCTCCTAGAACCACCCTGCCCCACCTGCCTGTGGCCTTCTCACCTGTGCAGGACCATGCGGAGCCCTCCGTCAGGAGCATGGGAATGAGGCCAGTCCCGATGGGACGGGTTGGCTCCCTGGTAGGGGAAGGGTCCTTATCCTCATGCCGCAGTTCTCAGAGCGGGGTCCCGAGTGCTCCTGGAGGATGTGCTCCCACAGTGTGGGCTGGCTGAAATGGAAAAGCCTGCAGGAGGAGGAAGCTCCCCGTCTTTCAGGGGATCAGAGCAGTGGCCAGAGGGCTCCCTGTCCGCTGTCACAGAATCCTGGCATGGAGCAGGAACTGTACAGGAGCCAGCTGAGGCCCTTCTGTGACATCCCATACCGCCACCTCTGTCCAGCTGTGGGTGACAATGCTCCTCCTTTCTCTTTCAGACTCGACTCCTGCGGAAACTCCCAGAGGGAAGCCCCAGCTCAACCTGCCGTCCCAGGCACCGCTCCTCCGATGGGTCCTTACACTCAGCTTTTTGGTGGCAACGGTGGCTGTGGGACTTTATGTCATGTGAATGCATGGGCACTGGCTCCTTAGGCTGTGAACTCTGTCCAATGGAGGACCTTGTTTCTGGAGAGGGACTATCTCTTGGCTTCCTTACTTTAGGCACAGGGGGCTGTCTGTGCCCCCCACCCCCGCCCTGACCCTGCATCCCTCTCTTTGGAAAGGGAGAGTCTGTGGCATCTTCCCCAACCAAAAGCACATCCAGTTCAATGACATGAACTTCTGAAGTGGGATGAGGGGTCCTGCCTGGCCCCTCAGCACCCCCAGTTCCTGCAGTAGAGCCCAGAAGACATGGCCAGAAGTGGCGGCTGTCTTGAACCTCCAAATGCCCTGGGTGTGTGGTCTCCTTGACATGCTATGACCACTTTCTCTGTGGGCCATGGCGATTTTTATATCAAAAAAGATGTGTCTTGTGTTTGTCTTGTTTTTGTTGGAGCTGCGTTTTGTTCCTGGCTCCACCTGAACTGTGGTATTTTGTTTGTTCTGTTTTTATAGCACAGTTAGGGTGAGTTTTGGGGGTGGGTGGGTGGGTGGGATGGGAGGTGTTTAACAACACTGTGGCCTTGGTCTCTAACTTTTGTGTGAAATAATAAACTACAGTGCCTGATAGAAACTTGAAGTGTTTTTCCTGGGCTCTGTTAGCCTTGGGGAGCTAACTCTTGCCCGTTCGTTTCTTGAGTGCCTGGTGGGGAGAAGGGGTGACGGTGCGGGTAGAAGGGACCAGTTTCAGATGTTGGTCTCTGCTCTGAGAATGTGGGGGGTGAGCTTTAGGCAGCTGGTGTGTGAATCTTTGTGTTGACCTTTGATGTAAGACTCAGCTTTACTGAGGATGCGGTGGCCCCGTTAGGCCGAGACGAGCAGATTCGGGGACCAAATGTTATCTAGTGGATACAGTGAATGTTTGGGACAGGGAGATCCCTGGGTTCCCATCCCTGCCACTCGCTTCGTAGCTCTGCCTTTGAGATTCGTTATTAACCCGTCTGGGTTCCATTCTGTCACCTGTAACATGAATACAGTGAGATCTATGTCACCTGTCTTGAGCAGCACAGCAGATGCAGGTAGAAGGCCAACATCCTATCACTTGAGCGCCTGTTACAAAATGAGAGTGATCAGGGGTTTGCGATTTTTGCTAAATGATCTTTGTGCTGTGAGCGCGTGGGTCACTTCCTGTGTCCCCTCATGTGATCCTCGCAGCAAACCCGTGGGGGTGCTACCACTCCGGGGGGGCTGGAAGGATTTAAACCAGGTCTGTCCAGTTCTAAAACCCACGTTTTTTCCCAAGTCATGAAAGCCATTGAAATATTAATAGTGCAGCTTCCCAATATGGGGAAGTGAAAACCCCTCCCCGAAGGTGCAGTTGGGAAAGCAGGGGACAAGGTGTTCCCTTGATACCTCTGGTATGTGAGGACTGGGAGTCAGGAGAGCTGTGTACCCACGCCTAGCTTTGTCACAAAGTCTGGAACCCTTGGACAAGTCACTTGTCTTTTGTTCACTGGCAAAATGAAAATAACACCCCTACCTCCCACAGCTGGTAGAGGGCCCGGCGGCTCGACGTCAGCGTGTGGACAGTGGCGTCAGGATCATGGGGGTGGGGTGGGGATCTTGGGCCCCACCCAAGGAGGTTCTGACCCTGGAATCCTGTTTGTGAAAAGCTCCCTGAGATTCCAAAGTGCAACCAACCAGGCCCAGGAGCCACACTTTAATGAGATTATATTGGCCAAGAGGAGGCATTCAAATAGCAGCTGTAGCCCTTCCCACCCGAGGCCTGCTTTCCAGTTTTCGGGGAACATGACATCTATATTCATTATTTGTAGTGATAAAGGAAAGGAGGCAGGGGAGAAACAGAAACAAACCATATTGGTTCTGTTTGACAAGAAAATGGCCGAATAATCTGTATTCTCTCTACGGAGAACCAGTAGCTGTTCAATAGGAGTGGGGCACCTAGATGGCCAGTAGGAAGCAACCCTTGATCTCCAGGTCTTGAGTTCGAGTCCCACTTTGGGAGTAGAGATTACCTAACAAAAAATAAACTTAAAAAAAATAAAAAAAGAATGAGTTAAATCCATTCTGTTCTCCAAGGGGCTTCCATGTAGTATTAATGAGAAAAGCAAATTTGGGGGTCACCTGGGTGGCTCAGTGGTTCAGCATCTGCCTTTGGTTTAGGTCATGATCCTGGGGTCTTGGGACTGAGTCCCATATCAGGCTCCCCATGGGGAGCCTGCCTCTCTCTCTCTCCCATGAATAAATAAGATCCTTAAAAATAAGTAAATAACAAAAAATGAACCTGAAACTTTTTTAAAGGTTTATTTATTCATGAGACACAGAGAGGCAGACACAGGCAGCAGAAGCAGGGAGCCTGATGCGGACTTGATCCCAGGACCCCGGGAACATGACCTGAGACGAAGGCAGACGCTACACCGCTGAGCCACCCAGGTGCCCCCAATCTTGCCATTTTTCAAGCTGGGTTGGGTACCTGGTTGTGAATTTCAGCAAATATTAAGCATTGCCAAAGAATGAAAAGTCGTTTACAACGAAAACAACAACCAAAAAATCATCCTCTGGGTCTAAGAAAACATCCTTGGGTCCCTTCATCAGCCAACTTTGGGCCCAGAGATTTATTCTGGATTTCTCTCCAACCTCAGTTCAGAAGGGAGCATGCCAGGGAGGGCTCGGCGCAGGGGGCGGCGGGGAGGGGGCTGCCGGGGAGCGCTCGAGGAGGGGGTGTCGGAGAGGGGGGTGTCGGGGAGGGGGTGTCGGAGAGGGGGTGTCGGAGAGGGGGTGTCGGAGAGGGGGGTGTCGGAGAGGGGGGTGTCGGGGAGGGGTGTCGGAGAGGGGGGTGTCGGGGAGGGCTCGAGGAGGGGGTGTCGGAGAGGGGGTGTCGGGAGGGGGTGTCGGAGAGGGGGTGTCAGGGAGGGGTGTCGGAGAGGGGTGTCGGAGAGGGGTGTCGGAGAGGGGGGTGTCGGAGAGGGGGGTGTCGGGGAGGGGGTGTCGGAGAGGGGGGTGTCGGGAGGGGTGTCGGAGAGGGGGGTGTCGGGGAGGGGGTGTCGGGAGGGGGTGTCGGAGAGGGGGGTGTCGGGGAGGGGGTGTCGGAGAGGCGGGTGTCGGGGAGGGGGTGTCGGAGAGGGGGTGTCGGAGAGGGGGGTGTCGGGGAGGGGGTGTCGGGGAGGGGGTGTCGGAGAGGGGGGTGTCGGGGAGGGGGTGTCGGAGAGGGGGGTGTCGGGGAGGGCTCGGGGAGGGGTGTCGGAGAGGGGGGTGTCGGGGAGGGTCGGGGAGGGGCTCCGGGGGGGGGGCTCGGGGAGGGGCGGCGGGCTCCCCCCGGGACCCACGGCTTCTGAACCCCCAAGTGGTCCTGCCCCGGGCTCGGTCTTGTGGGAAGGCTCCAGGGGGTACAGGCGAGGCCCCCGCGCACCGCCCGGGCCCGGAGGCCGCCCCTCCGCCATCTTTGCGTCCAGCTCCGCCGCCACTTCCTCCCGGCTCAGAAGTTTCGCGCCAAATCGTCAGCCTGGCAAGATGGAGCCCGGAGGAGGCCGGGGACCTGACGTCACGAGCCGCCAGCCAATCGGATTCGGAGGCCGGTCCGGGAGGCGGAGCTCGCGGGCGCAGAGCGGCCCAATCGCAGGCTGCGGGCCCCCGGGGAGCCAATCAGGGTGCAGCGGCCGCGGCGCCCTGACGCGGCGCCTGGTTTTTCCCGCGAAAGGCGGCGGCGGGCGCGGAGGTGCTAGTGTGCTGGGTCCGAGGCGTGCGGGGGTCGAGGTGAGACCCGGGGCCTGGGTGCGGGGGGGCCGGGGCGTGCGGGGGGGCGAGGTGAGACCCGGGGCCTGGGTGCGGGGGGGCCGGGGCGTGCGGGGGGTCGAGGTGAGACCCGGGGCCTGGGTGCGGGGGGGCCGGGGCGTGCGGGGGGGCGAGGTGAGACCCGGGGCCTGGGTGCGGGGGGGCCGGGGCGTGCGGGGGGGCGAGGTGAGACCCGGGGCCTGGGTGCGGGGGGGCCGGGGCGTGCGGGGGGGCGAGGTGAACCGGCGGCCGGGGTGCGGGGGGGCCGGGGCGTGCGGGGGGGCGAGGTGAACCGGCGGCCGGGGTGCGGGGGGGCGAGGTGAGACCCGGGGCCGGGGTGCGGGGGGGCCGGGGCGTGCGCAGGCGTCCGCGCAGGAGGGCGCGGCGGGGTGGGCAGGGTGTCCTGGGCGGGCGGCGGTCCCCCGCCCCTTCCCTCCGAGCGGAGGCCGCCGCCGCCCCCGGCCTGCTCCAGCTGGTCGTCCCCGTGCCAGGCGCAGTCATGTCCGGCTTCGACGACCCCGGCATCTTCTACAGCGACAGCTTCGGGGGAGACGCCGCGGCCGACGAGGGGCAGGCGCGCAAATCGCAGCTGCAGAGGCGCTTCAAGGAGTTCCTGCGGCAGTACCGAGTGGGCACCGACCGCACCGGCTTCACCTTCAAATACAGGTGCGGCCCGGGGAGGGAAGGGGGGAGCTGGAGACCCCCGCGGCGGAGCAGGCGCCGCTGTGGCCACACGTGTGCACTCTGAGCCCGTTAGTGCCCCAGTGCACGGATGGGGACAGGGCCCCGGAGAGGTGAAGGAGCCTGTTCAGGCCTGAGGATTTGGGTCCCAGCAGAGCTTCATCCGGGCCACTCCGGGGGCGCATTTGGTTTTGTACTTTTGATGAATAGCCCCCCGGGCCCCTAACCATCAGCTAGAACTTCCTTGGGCCCTTTGGTTTTTATCTAGGACTGGTTGCTGTTCACTTCTTGTTTTTCTGTGTCTGTCTCTGATGGCTGGTAAACTCAAGCCCTCTATGGGTGCAAAAGGTGAAGGTGGTGGTCAGGATTTAATTTCACTTAGGCGTTCCTTCCAGTCTGGCCGCCTCTGTTGATCAGCACTTGCTGTCTGCCAGGCACTAAGGTACTGTTCCAGGTGCTGGGCTACCCACTGAATCTGCTCTTCTTCATTATATAACCTTTGGCAAGCCCAGCCTCTAACCTTAGCATAGCGCCTTGAAATGCAGAGGAGTTGTATCTGTGGGTCCAGACATGGGCGTGAAATTATTAGTTGAGTGACTTCCAGGTAACGGTCTCCCTGTCATCAGTAAATGAGTGTCAGCAATTCTGCCTCCATTTATTTATGTATCAGCTGACATTGACCATGTGTGTGCCAGGCATTGTGCTAGGCACTAAGATACGAAGAGGTCCTGTTGCACGTCAGTGGTCAGTGAAGCTCCTAAGTCAGTGAGGTCAAGGCGTGGAGGCCAAGAGATAAATTACAAAGTGACAGTTGCCTCCAAGGCGGAATAGCAAAGGGGAGTTAGGGAGGGCCTCCAGAGGAGCCCACCTTTGGCCCCCAGCTGAGAAGAGTTTCAGATATGGAGGGCCTTCTCTACAGAAGCAGTTGCCTGCCTGGGCGGAGAGTTATGGGTGGTCTGCTATAGTAAAGTGCTTTCTAGGTCAGGGTTGGCTGTTGCATGTGGCTCTGGGACGTAAGGTCGAAGGGGTTAAGGTCTGAGATGAGGCTGAAGAGAGCGCTCTGCATAGCGTAGGTCAGTGTCCCTAAGTGCATTTTGGGACGGTAGTCCCATGGGATGGATGCTTTGTAGAAGTCCATCTGGTGGTCGACAAGGTAGTCTCTACCATCTCGTCTCCAGGTTTGAGCTTTGTGGTTTGGTAGCCTCTGAGAGAAAGTAAAAGGCTCCAGGGGGTCCTGCAGGGAGAAAAAACCAAAACATCCCAAAGTGACCTGTGCACACAGCCCTGTCTGAGTGTTGAAATATCCTTTAGCCGTCTTGGGGAGTGTTTAAACAGAACTGTTTTTTGAGGATGCCTCTGCGAGAAACAGGGATCCTCCGCAGGGTTATATCACAGAACCACCTGGAAGTTGATGTGTGTTCTGGAAGAGGAGTAGGAGCAGCGATGGTGATGATGTGGGCACAGTGAGGGTGCAGGTGCACCTCAGCCAGTGTTGATGTCCTCTTCTCTGCACCCCGCCCTGCCTCCACCTTGCCACCTGCCCACTCCAGGGATGAGCTCAAGCGCCATTACAACCTGGGGGAGTACTGGATCGAAGTGGAGATGGAGGACCTGGCCAGCTTCGACGAGGACCTGGCTGACTACTTGTATAAGCAGCCGGCCGAGCACTTGCAGCTGGTGAGTGGGACCCTGTCCCTCCCTGAATCCCCCAGGGCTGGCCCTGCTCTGGTCACTAACAGGTGTCGCCTTCCTCTTCTCCAGCTAGAGGAAGCTGCGAAGGAGGTGGCTGATGAGGTGACCCGGCCCCGGCCCACAGGGGAGGAGGTGCTCCAGGACATTCAGGTCATGCTCAAGTCGGACGCCAGTCCGTCCAGCATTCGTAGCCTCAAGGTGGGTCCACTTAGAGGCTGGGGCGAGGGTGACAATGGCTGCTGCACGGAGCATAGGAGCTTCAGACACAGACAGACCTGAGTGCCAGCTGTGCGACCCTGAGCAGCTCACCAGACCTCTCTGAGCCTGTTTCTTCCTCTGTAAAATTAACTCATTGGACAAATGTTTACCGAGCTCCTTCTGTGGGCAGGGGATTGAGTTGGGTTCCGGAGAAACAATGTTAAACAACAAACTCCTGTTCCTGTGGACTTTATACCCCTCACTCTGAGGGGTGTGCGGGGGGACCCTGAGTAAACCAGAGTATCACCCATGATGGTTGTAGATGATTGTAAGCGCAGTGGAGGAAGTCGGGGTGCGGAGAAGGCTTCCTTGGTGGAGAACCACCTGAGCAAAGGCCAAGCAGGGGGGCAGACAGCTGGGAGAGCACTCCAGGGAGGTGGCAGCACAGCTCCTGCAGAGCCTGAGTGCGAGGAGGGCATGCTATGTTCAAGGCCGTGTTGAAGGACAAGCCAGCGTGGCTAGAGAACGATTGGGAGGCAAGCAGGGTGGGCAGAGCCGGTCTGTCATCCAGGTGTTTGTTCTAACCAACAAATACTGAAGGCTGCTTCGCTTAGGTGCTGGGCTAGACTCTCACTATAGACAGATAGGACTGGCTTCTCATGGGGCTTATGGTGGGAGAGACAGGTAAGGGACATGGCTATGGCTTCAGGAGCCGGGTACAGTCACGAAGGAACGAAAAGCACGAGGTAAACATGACAGTGGCAGAGGGAGGTGGATGGTGGTCAAGGAGGCCTCTGAGGAAGTGATGTTGGAGGGCGTCTGAGTGATGCATTGTCAGAGGTGTGACAGCCTCAGGAAGAGCCTTCCAGGCTCAAGGAGAAGCAGGTGCAAAGGCATTGAGGTAGGATGGTGGCATGCTTCAAGGAACAAGAAGCAGCCGGGGTGGCCGGACCCCAGTATGGGTGAGGGTTGGAGGAAGGGCAGGGAGAAGGGGAGGGAAGAGGCCAGAGGGCCAGGGCTTTTCTAGCCAAGGGAAGGAGCTTGGATCCTCTATGAAGCACAGAAGAAAGACAGTGTATGTTTAAGTCGAATGGACCAGTTCTGTTTGCAAATGATTTCTCTGTCGTGTGGAAAATTTATAAAATAGGCAGGAGAGCAGCGAGCAGGAAGTGATGATGGTCAGGATGGTGGTAGTTGTCATAGGGCTGTTGCTAGAATCTAGGGCAGCACGTGCCTGTGCTCAGCTTTCTCTGCAGTAGGCCCCAGGGTCACCCGGTTAGCTAATGGCACCTCTTCATCATGCACTGCACCCCCAGGGCCATGCTCTGGTCTTTGCTTGTGTCCCCACATCATGCAGCTCTCTCGGGGCCCATGTCAAGCCGTCTTTGGCTCACACGGTGGCAGGTCTGTTCCAGAAGCAGGGTGGTGGACCCTGGAGCTTGTCAGCTTTACCTCTGCCTTCCCAGCACTGAGGAGGGGTTCCGTGACTCTGGAATCAAGCTCCAGGTCACGTTCGCCTCTCTGTGGAAGTGGCATCCCCTGGACCTGTTTTATGGGGGGAGCTGTTTGGTTAGAGAGGCAAGGTTCAGCTCCCCCGGGGACACACTTCTTATTTTGGAGGACACAGCGTGCTTCAAGGAACAAGGCTATACCTGGCCTGCTTCAGGTGGTGGATTTTCTGTGATGGGGAGGAGCCCTCCCTAGAAGGATCATTTGTCGGGGTGACTTGGAGGGGTTGAAACCCATCCTTTCCAGCTCAGGATTCTGGGGTGCCAGGACACCCGCAGCTTTGTAGCTTGTTTCTGAAAAAACATGTGCCCCCCCCCTTTTTTAAAGATTTTATTTATTCCTGAGAGAGAGAGAGCGAGAGAGAGGCAGAGACACAGGCAGAGGGAGAAGCAGGCCCCATGCATGGAGCCTGACTTGGGACTCGATCCCGGGTCTCCAGGATCATGCCCTGGGCTAAAGGCAGTGCCAAACCACTGAGCCACCCGGGCTGCCCCAGCACATGCTCTTTTGATTGAACCAGCTGGGTGCCCTAGGAAGAGATTTTTATCACATCATATCTGCTATCCCTGTCTCCCTTTAACCAACCACC